AAGGCTTTTTCAAAAATATTCTTTTGTGGAACACTGGTTCACCACCTTGTAATAGGAAGTGGAGCCATTTGGTGTAATGGTGAAGGCATCAGGCTAGAAACTGGGAGACTGTGAGTTCTAGTCTTGCCTTAGGCACCATGCCAGCTGGGTGACCTTGGGCCAGTCCCTCTCTCAGCCCTAGGAAGAAGGAGGAGGCAAGGGCAAACCACTTCCGAAAAACCTTGCCAAAAACCACAGGGACTAGTCCAGGCAGTCACCAGGAGTCAAAAGCTGACTCAAAGGTGCACACATGCACAGGAAGCGGGTAGCTGCCTCAATTGCAATGCACATTTGCTCTGACCTAAATGATATATAGGGTAGTGATGTGGGGAAATTAGACAGCACATTGTAATGGTGAGCTGTTGCTTGTCCTTTCCAGGTGGCTGTGCAGTGCGCCATGACTGACGTACCTGGTAATTGTGAGTTGCTGTACAGACGGTGGATCTGGCACCTAGAATATGCAGGTGAATTGAGAAAATAGTGTATGCAAAATATTACAATTATAGCATTGCGGTGTCATGAGTTGAAGGCATCATTTAGGCCATCACGTTTTACCCTGTATTCTGTGCCGGATTCTAAATTAAAGCATCTATGACAGATGGTGGTACTTCTGCTTGAAAACATCTAGCGAAGAAGAGTTCACTACCTCTTTCATTAATTAGTTCTACTATCAAGCTGCTCTTACAGTTACAAATGTTTTCCTAACACTCAACCAGAATTCACTTTCCTATCAGTTAAATCCATTATTTGAGTTCCATTGCTATTACTTAATGCTCTTTTAAAGAACTGCAGTTTGATTCCATACCTTCTTATTGATTGAATGGGCATTAGTAGATAGCAACAGTAATATTGCTTTCATTCAGTCTTCTATTTATTTTAATCATATCCTGTCTGCAGTATCGGCATATTCATTTAAATTTCTGTGTGGGCTTGGATACTTTTAGCATATTAGTGGAACTCCTCCACTTTTTCCATTGTTTTTGTTCCTTTTGAACATCGTACACTTCAGTTGCTATGTGCCAAACACGAGAGTCATCCCAACAGGTCACAGTTATATCTGTGAGTCATATGTGTCTTTTTGTACCAGGAATTCAATCTCATCTTATTTATTTGCCGTAATCTAGGCATTAGTGTATTAAAAAATGGCCATGAACTTTATGTTCCAATATTCTTTCTGATTTTTCATTGAGTGGTTAATGTTTCGTAACAGCAACATTCTTATTCCCTTCTACAGTGCATTAGACTTTATCTTTGATGTTTCTTTCTGGTTTTTTACCTTCAACCCTCACAAGATTCAGTTTAAAGCCCTCTTGAAATAGGTTCTGTACATATTTGGCCAGACATATTTTTACCAGACCACATGTGGGTTCAACCCATTGTGCATCAGCAATCCATCATCCAGATAACTTAGATCGTGGTCCCAGAAACTAAATCTCCCTGGTTGTAAGGAATGAAGTTGGTGAGACAAGCATGAGAAATTCCCAGGCTAGAAAGAACTGTTATCAGATGCCTTCTGTAGACATCTAGAGGACACCCAAGTATCCATTGGAAAGACAGGATTTCTAATGCTTTAAGCCCTGGAGCATAGGCTTATATAGGCTTTGATTTTTGTGTACTGCAGCAAGCAGATCTTCTGTGTATATATGACCTCATTTTTGTCTGCTAATGAAGAGATACATCTAGCCAAGTCATTATCTGAGAGGCTTTCAGCCAATTCCTGAAAAGGGGGTTAAGTGGAGAACTGAGATTTATAGCCAAGCCTGGTGTGATGCTTGCCATCTGTTGACAACATTTCCAAAGCCAGGTGTTTACCTATATTCTTCTTCTTTTCCTTGTTAGTCCTATTCTATAATCTGGAAGGAGACTGAGAGTACCATTTTTGTGTCTGCAAACTGCATGGTGATGCAATTATAATGGCTCATGGCAGTTTTGGAATTTGTTCTGTCATATCTGTCACTTTCTCCCAACTAGGAAGTGACAGTAAATCACAGCCCATGGTCAGACCAATCTTCTAGACTGCCATTCAGCAGAAGACTCATAGTTTGGTTAGATAATATCTAATGCAAACAAGAATGAAGCCAAGCAAAACAACTTGATTGCCTGCTGGCAGACTAAAGGTGCAAATAGTTTGTATATACCCGTAGTAGTTCAGTGCCATAATGTCCAACTACATTTGTCTGGCTAGACAAGAAACTGCAAGAATAAAGTTCCAAGGACACAAAAGCTCTGATAAGTAAATTTATTGCAGAAAAACAAATGAAGCCATTATGAAAGAATTCTAGCAACTGCTGTGTATTAAATGCAAGTCCTATTGATAGTGAAATCAAGGTTCAGGGTTATTGGGGTTTTTTTTTACTTCTTTTTCCTGCCTGCATAGTTAATGGGTGAAAAGCCCCTCTTTTTTGGGTGGGATATATGGTTTCCATCTGTTTCTTGTTTTGGTAATGGACTAGCCTGATATCATGCTGTTTGCCTGTGACCATGTAGTTTCATACATAGTTTTTCTTCTGCAAAGGGACAGACTCTTTGTGTGGTGTTTTGAAACCTTGAAGTTGAGTGAGAACAGCTGGCTTTCGGTTTACTACTAACAACACTCTAATCCATGCTTCTTGCAGACAGCAAACATCATGAACTCATGGGTTCAGTCAGCACATATTTGTTTTTCGTAATAGTGATTTAATAGGTACAATGATTCTTCTCTTTATCTCTTTGTATGGCACAGCTGCATCTCCTCTACTCTTCAAGGACCACCTGTTTTTTCTTGTTCAGCAGTTTCTCTTTTTTCCATTTGAAGGCTTCAAACTTATTCCTTCTGCAAAGGCATAAAAGCTGCTCTAATTTCAGAGGTGCAGAAGATCTTTTGCATCTTGTTTATGTTTGTCATTGTTATCCCCGTTACTCTTTTTCTTTTGCTAGATTTTCTTCTTTATGAAGTCTGTTTCCTCTGACAATTCCTATTATAGTGCCTCTTGTAGTCTAATACATTTTCATCCCCTCTTGTGACTAGATATTGCTGTTCACTGCTCCAGTCTTTATTTTTTCTTCCAGCACTGCTACAAGCTTGCTGTTGCAGCCAGGTTTCCAGTTAGCCAGGAACACAAATATACCTCAAATGTTGGAATTTATAATTGTAGCCTTACCTGTTACCTTAACTTTTGTTTTTTCAGTTATCACTAGCAGAAAGCCTTTTTAATTTTACTTGTTTGCTATCCAGGTGAGCTGAATACCCACAAAGAGAAAATGGTTAGGGACTCCATGTTAAATTTGCCCACCAGATTCAATTTCCAAACTCTTTCCCTGTATTCTCAGTGATTGATGGCAGCTGCCTTCCCAATGTTAACAGGTTGGAAGGAAGAAGAAATATATGCCAGTGGGATAAGGACTTAATAAGGGGACTGCCCTTGAGGGTTCTTCTCTGTACCCGAACAATGGGAATTGTACTTTATATGGCAATGTGAAACAGAACTTAGTGGAGCTTGGAAGCTAGTTGTCTTATATACCTTGTATAGTCTTTTGGAGCAGCCTCTGCTGGCTCAGAAGGAAGTTGTCGCTCAGTCATCCACAATGGACAATTAGAGGTTTTCAGTGCACCCCCTCTTGCAATCAGCAGCTGTTCAGGAAATTAGCTCTTCAGACAGAGTCCTTCAGTATTTTTACCTCTTTGCTTATCTGTATTCTTCCTTGTTCTTCCTCTTTTTGAACTCTACAACCAAACGTTTCTTAGCTTCCCCTGTTTCCTTGGGGAGTTGCTATGAATTCCATTCCTGTCTTCAGACTTCCGGTCTACATGAGTGATAGTTCTGAATTGACAGTACTTGGTATTGGGCCTTCAGGACAGATTAGTGATTATGCTGATTTACCATTCACCCCATTGCCCAACAGACTCCCTACCTGAGCTGACAGGTATGAACTCAGATTTGGTGTTGAAGACCCCAGGCTGGTCATTGTAGGAGTATTCAGTATGCATGCTATTTCTGTCTGATGCAGCTCAGGAGTTCATGGAACTGAGGCAGTGAATGTTTAAATCAATATCTAAGCACAGTGAGACACTGGATGAGTGCCAATATATACTGAAGTTAAATAAAACAAGTACTGTTGGGGAAAGCCCATTTACCCACTGGATAGCAGTCCACTGGAAGAGCAGGTACACTGTTGGAAGTGCTCCTGAATACATTGCTATCATTGGGCCCATAGGTAGCTTGGTGGTTAGAAGTTCCTTCTATCTGTTTAGTCTGTTACCCTAGCTATGACCCTTTTGGGGCATGGAAGAATTAGCATCAAGTAAACATGCTCTGCTAACTTCTTGTCTGGATTATTGCAATATATTGTATATGAAACAATTTTGAAGGCAGTTTGGAAATTTCAGTTCACCCAAAGTAGAACTCTAAGATTACTAATAGGAAATGGCAGATACAACATCAGTTCTAATGGCTGCCAGTTGATTTTCAGGTCCAATTCAAGGTTTTAATTCTTAAACGATGTGAGTCCAGCCTGCCTCAATGAACGTCTTCTCTCTTATGTACCTGTCTGGGTTCTGCAGTCATTTTTGATGTTTTTTTCTGAGTTTTCTTGCAAACCAAAGTGAGGTTGGTGGCTGTAAGGAGAGGCCCCACTTATGGAATATTCCCTCAAGGGACCCACAATTGGGGTCCCCATTATAACATTTTTCAAAACCAGACAGAGATATTCTGCTCCTCATGGACATTTCTGTCATTTTGTACCCTGTTTGATGTTAAATGTCTATTCTATACTGGAATAGTGAATTTTATTTTATTTCATTTATATCTTTTCTGTGCTATTTGTTCATTGTATTTGACTGCTTTCAATGTTACATATTTTGAGATTAAAAAAAACTTTTTAGACATTTTTAATGTTTTAAATAGTTTTCCAGTCGCCCCGGGGAACTTTGCTTATTGGGTGGATTGGATAAAATATAAATATATAAATTTGGTTTCTTGCAGGCAGGCCTGAAGTGTAAAGGAGAAGGATATAATGACACAGAAGGGAGCAAAAGGTTTGGAAGAGGAGGTAAGACGGCAGCTCCTCCAAACTAAACATTATTCATTTATGTATTTATTTATTAGATTTCTGTCTTGCTTTTTCTCATGCAGCTTGAAGCAGCCTACTTGTGAATATCCTTTCATTTTTTCCCACAATAACCCTGTGGAATTGGTTGAGCTCAAATTCCATGAGCCTGTATCTAACACTAAGAAAAAAATGTGATTATGGCCATTGTTTTGTATTTTTGCATAGATCTCCCTGCATGGAGTTTTAAGTGAATGGGATAAGATCATGAGCCAGGGTTCAGCTTTAAAGCTTCCTTCCATGTACAAGCAATATTGCATTTATAGGGTAGCCCAACTCAAACAATGTGACTCTAGGTAGCATACAGCAAAAAGCAAACAATAAACCCAAAAATCCCCCAAACCACATGACATTAAAAAACTTACCCCATATATAAAATACAAAGTGGTATCCAAACACAATAATTAAGCAATCAAAAGAGGACTCCGCTCCACTGGACCTGAACACCCGAGGAATGCTCTCAATGGCTTTTCTGAAAGCAAGCAGAGTTGGGGGCCTGTTGTAATTGGCGGGGTGGGGATTTTTCCAGAGCACAAGGGCAGCCACCGAAAAGTCCCAGGTCCCGTGAGATGGCAAGGTTTAAAAGAGGGAACCTGGAGCATGCCCTCCCTATGGGAGCATGTAGGGTTGGCAGATGTTCTCAGGGGAGGTGGTCCTGCAAGAAACCAGCGCTGTATGTAACTCCCCTGCCATGTGTAACAACTTCAGTGGCACGGGTACTTCTTTAGAAGACTGCTCAACCTTGGGGTAATTAGAAAGAATGGCTGAAAAACCCCAGTGCAGAACTTCACATCCTAAAATTACTTTACAAATGATTAGTAAAACTTAAGGACCCTTTTGGTTTGACCCATTAAGATTATTTATATGGAGAAGATTTGCAAAGGCTTAATACATCTCTGCTTAAGGGGACAGACGTATGTTTCCATAATTGCGAAGGTCCAAAGAAGAGGCATTCAAAGAAGAGGCATTTTTTCAATCTGCATTGAAAAAAATGATACCTTTTGGTAAAACAGAAGATACAATAGAATCTCAATTTAACAGACCATTTGGAGGGGAGGGTGTCTTTTAAACTCAAACGCCCCTTCACATGTTTGTAATTGACATAATTTATGTCATAAGAGTTATAATTGATGTTTTTACATCATCAGTCATCATCATTATAAAGTGGCATAAATTGAGGTGAATAACATAAAAACATTTGTTATGCCATTATGCAAATAGTGTAAATTGTGTAAATTATCTGGACAGACTTTAAAAATAATGCACTGGTTCATAATTTCTGGGTGACATCTGAATGCAAATTTGGTCTGTTACATCCAACAGATTTTCACTATATCTGTTGCAATTCCTGGGCCAGAGCTCTAAACTATTAGATTAGAGAGCATGACTGTAGCATCAATGGCATCATGTTTTCTTCTGAGACTTGGCACAATCTAGTGGAGGAAGCCCAAAACATTTGACAGGGGTCAAATAGGGCCTGACCTGAAGAATATCAGGCTTCTTTCTGACTGGGACCCTTGATAGAATATTACCTTTAAAATACCCTTTTATCTAAAATCAGAATATGCCACACATAGACATTTCTTGTAATTTTAGGTGCATCAGCACTAGAGAAAATGACCACCTTGGTTGCGTAGGAGCCTTAATAAAGTCCAATGAAGTAATCTATTTGGAAGAGCAGATATTGGATTCTGTTACAGAAGTAGAAATTAAGGGTTACTTCTTTTATTGTTACATATTATTTTGCTCACACAGATGGAGGGATCACTGTTTGGCTCAATGGGCTCTTTTATATTCCCGCTCTCAGCTAGGTGCCCATTAGAATGAGGGCATTGTCTATGGGATACCATCAAGATGGGGTGAGAGCCTGTGGGGGATTTTTTTTTATTTTAGGACCCAAAAAGCCAGGGACTTGTTTGTTTTACAACAGTAACAAAGATCCTTTGGGATATCTACGTTTTGGTTCTACATTTTAACTACAACAGGAGGTGGACGTGCTCAGGCCATTCCTTTTTGTATGTTGCAGTAGAAACATTCTTTGTTCCATTTAAACATTTGCCTTTACAAAAAAAATCTTTATCTAAATGAGTTCAGGTAATAGATTGAAGCCGGATGGAGACGAGCCCTCCAGTGTCGAATGTATGCGCCTGCTTCCCAATGGTCACCAGTCATCTACTGCGTCACATACTAACAGAAACAGGCCAGAAGGTAAGTGGCCGGGATACTGCCAGATCCTATGTATTGTGAACAATGCAAACTACAAGTAGATACTCCATTAAATAATAATGCCTGTGTTATGAAGAAGCCAAAGATATTAGCAGCTGGTGCCCTCCTCACTTCTTAGAAAAACCTCTAAGGTTTCATGACGTTCTTCATTTACATCAGCCAACACATTCTTGTTAAGAACATCAGAAGAATTCTGCTGAATTAAATCCATGAGCTGCCTATCCCCGCGTTCTGTTTTTCCATCAGATGGTGACTGAAAACATGAGCTTCTGCCTGTTTTTCACAGCAGCTGGTTGTCAGAGGCATGTTGCTTTTGATCTTGGGGGTAATATATAACGACTTGGGGTCTGGTAGCTTCTTTTTAGGCTCTCAAAGTTTGTTAAAAATATTAGCTTTCATGAGCTATAGTTCATTTCATCAAATGTATAGAATAGGCTAAACTGATCAGGATGAGGTGGAAGACAAGATGATTACACAGATACTGATTACATGTGAGACAGATTACAAGTACAGGTTGTCCTTGGTTAACAACCATTCGTTCAGTGACCATTCAAAGTTATGACTGCACTGAATGAGGAGACTTACAACGGGTCCTTGTAGCTGTGGCCATCGTAGCATCCCTGTGGTCACATGATCGCGATTCAGGTGCTTGGCAACCAACTTACAATTACAATGGTTGCAGCATCCCACAGTCACATGATTGCCATTTGTGACCTTCCCTGCTGGCTTCCGACAAGCAAAGTCAATGGGGAAGCTGGCAGGAGGTTGCAAATGGCGATCACATGACTTTGTGCCTAACAACTGTGTGGGATTCGCTTAACAACTTCAACTGGAACGGCTGGAACTGCTGTCGTAAGTCAGTGTGGTTACGTGACATCATGTTTTACGACCGTGTCGCTTAGCGATGGAGTTCCCGGTCCCAATTACTGTTGTTAACTCAGGATTACCTGTATGTTATCAATTAACAACTCTAATGTGTTAAAGATCCATTATGTTTGTTGAGACCCTTCTGAAATAGCCTGAAACCTTTTGATATATCTGAGTTCAGCAATCTCTTGTTCAATTGTGCTAGTAATGCTTCTTTTTTCCAAAATGGATACTTTAAGATCTATGATACAGTGTCCTGTAAGGCTGAAATGCTCTTAGATTACATTGTCCTTGTTTTGATCCTGAGGTTTTTGGCCTTTGGGACAAAGTTTGCCTGTTTGCCCTATGTAAAATCTGGAGAGACATTGCTGGCCGATGATGGCCTATATCAAGTTAGAGGAAGAGCACGTGAAGGCACCTCTAATCCTGTGTGTGAAGTTTGGGGGCCTGTGCTGGTGCTGTTGGTGTAAATGGGAGGGCAAAATAGATATCTGGGTGTGTTGCAGAGTCTGGTTTGCATGTTAACATCATGCAATTGTCCTATTGTTTCTTGTTGCTTGTGAGAATCTGTTTCAGGTTGGGTGGTTGGTTGTATGCAAGGATGAGACAGCTACCTAGTACCAAAGAGCGGTGCCATTGGGCATTGTCATCTGATGAAGTGAGCTATAGCTCATGAAAGCTTATGCCTTTTAGTTATACTTGTTAGTCTGAAAAAGTGCTAAGAGACTTCTGATTTGTGGCTATCATAGACTAACATGGTTCTCCTCCTACAATATAACCAATTAGCAATCTTTGATAGTCTGATCCTCCATGAATTGTTCTAATTCCTTTACTGGCTTATTTTTTTTTATTTCTTACTTGTTTTACTTGTACGCTGCCTATTCCCAAAGGCTCTAAATGAATAATATCAACGTATTAAAAAAAAAGCCTACCCCCTACAAAGAGTTGCTTTGTGTGAGATGGGCAGCTATATCAATGTGATAGATAAATACATAAATATAAACAAAAACTCCAAGAAAAATAAGAATCAACATTTGTTGCTGTGTGCCTAGAACCTTACCTTCAGGTTGCAGGACACCTTCCTCTTGTGAGATGGAATCAATAGGTCCCTTAGCTGACCAGGTCCAGAGTCCTGTAGGGCTTTACAGGTGATGACCAGAACTTTAACACTGGTAATGCTGCAGAGGGCCCTATTCACTTCCTTGGGAGCGACAGGCTCAAAATGATCCAGATCGCTTCACACAGACAAGAGAAATTGTGTTTCTTTTCTTCCTTCCTAGGATATGTACCCTCATTGATAGATGGGCGCACTCAACGCAGCATCCATGTCAACTTTTCTTTCAATCCAGATCGCCTCAAGCAAGCCAGACAATATGTGGAGAGAGCCATCAAGGTAATGCTGTTGGCTGAATCTGCCTCCCTATCTCAGCTTTTGTCCAGGTTTTCTTCCTTTCCTTTGTTCTGGAATGTTGCCACTAAGATCCAGTCAGTCCTCCCTCCTGCAGTGCAGAGTAGCTAATCTTCTAATTCTCCTACTGACTCATAGCAAAGGAAGATCTTTATGGTACACGGTCCTTACCCCATCATCCGAAGACGACTGCTTGTCAGAGGTTGGGTGGAGAGGAAGTTCCCAAAGATGCCTAAAGTTGTTACTAAGCGGGAACGTTTCCCTGATGGAGAAGCTGATGAAGATGGTGATGACAGTGATACGCCTGAAGATGGTAAGTCCCTTGGGAGCCTCAACCATTGCTCCCTTTTCTTTTTTTAACCACTGTATAAGCTTATTATTCTCTCTGCAGTCTTAAATATACAACTGCTTTTTTGATAGAAGGAAGATACAATTCATAATTGGTATTCTTCCAAAGGAGCCTTGGGCAAAGCCAGAATTGCCAACAAGGTCCACTAGCACACTGTTCGCAGTAATATTACTGCTGCAGGTAACCCATATTATTCTGGAAACACATTCCCCAAATAATAGAAAAGAAGCACAATCATTTTTTTTAATATGGACATTATCTCAGTTTTCTCCAAATTTAGAGCCCTCCAGATATTTTGGTTTTTGTTTTGTATTAGTCCCAGTCATCATGACCAGTGGTAATAGATAATGCAACTTATCATCTAATGCAGTGTTGTCCAAACTTGGCCACTTTAAGGTAAGTGGACTTCAACTCCCAGAATTCCCC